GAATAGAAAAATGCAATCTTACTAGGATCAGAACTTAATTGTAGATTATTTCCGTGAAGCATCTCGCCCTGACTGTTATTGATACCAAGGAGTAGAAATTACCTTGCGGTGTAATTGACGTTGTTCATCTGGTGTTAGGTTATGGCTTTTGCATGTGGACTGCTGGGTATGATCCTGTGTGAATCTTCAATGATACCTTGTTAATGATTTCGGCGCGTTTTAAAAGCTGTATATAAGTGCAATGCAAATGAATACAAGTTGAATTTCGTACTCAAATCAAAACCAATGTAACACCCACAGTCAATTTTTGCGCTTTGCTCAGTAATCTCAAACACTATTGTAAGGTGGAATAATATTTCGTGAGATTTTGTATGACGCCTGGCCAGCTTTAATTGCAGTTAATAGTTGATTCTTTTCCAACTCATCGACTCTGTCTTATTTTGACCTGTTACCACAGCCAACTTGACTCTTTTTGTTCTGAGCCAACGCTGACAACCATTATAATCCATGACACTATTGTTTACAGACGTATTGGTACATGTGTCAAAGCTAGTTCAACTTCAATCACCTTGGTTGAATCTTTTGCACAGTATAGTTCCCCACTTTAAAACCAAACAAATTTGCACTATATTAATTTTATAGGCATTAATCAAGTCAACAAATTATGTTAATCCTTAGATTATTTACCGGTGAATAATATCTTCTCAAATGAAGTTTAGTCGTTTAAAAATGTACGAACATTGCTAACAGATTCCCCTAAAACAATATCTTGGTAAATTGGGGCAGTAAAGACGAAGAATTGTTTCGCGAAATTTTACATGAATATGACTGACTAAAAAACTACCTTCGAAATTGGTGACAGATAAATCTTCGGAAAATCTCCTCTGCATTCCCCCATTTAAAGTCACGATATTTTCTTGCGTGCATTGGCTTCAAGTCGAGGCAGATCTCAACACTGAAGTTTTGAGTAGACTTTCAGATTTTCAAAGCTTTTTCAGAAATATTTGAAAGCATTGCTACGCTATGATTTCATATTTTGTTCAAGAACAAAATTCAACCCCACATTAATTTGCAAATATTGCAAGTAGTAAACTTTTATTTTAAAAAAAGATTATCAAAATCTCTACTTAGAATTTTCAATTTTGACTATGCGCTAACTTTCAAGCTCAAAAATAGTCTATGATGCAAATGCTATGTAGCTGCGTTTTCTATGAAAACAGGCATGAATTTAGTATCAGACTGTGGAAATTCCGATTCACACTTTTAGGGTTGGTAGGTTAGAAGGCAAGTCACACTTTTAAATGCACGTAAAAATGGAGTTATTGTAGATGTGTTTATGTGAGAAAAGAGCAGCTCAAATTGAATAACCCTTTGGTAAGGCTCCCATTTAGCATGATTTTTAAGACTTAGACTAGTTTTCAGTAATGTGCCTTTTCTTTCATGTCATTTTCTCATTCAACAGTTTTTCTTATTTTCCAGGGCAAGTTGGTACAATTATAAATAATAGGAATGCTGCGCGACTATCCTTCGAAACCGTACTCGTAAGTCATTTCGTATTTTGCAAAGAACTTACCGCACCCACAGGTGGGGCAGCAGTTGGCTTTGCACAGCACTTATCTCCGGGATTTTCAAAAGCGTCCCCTTGGGTTCTAATGTTAATGTCTTATAGCTCCGGAAAATGTAGATTTCAAGTCAATTTCCAACAATGACCAGCTAGGTATTTTCTCAAGTTTTTGGAATGTGCCAATATTTAAATTTGCCATCAGTCGGGTTATGGTGTGCACGACTACGGTGTCTTTTTTGATTGACGTTGAATTACAGCCATGAATTTTGATAAAACTTAGTACAGTGTACTAAGTTTAATTTCTGGTCATAAAAAGTGCTTGATCACAATAAAACAGGTTAGTTATGCTGGCGCGCTGCACTAAATCACATTCAGGAAAAAATGATTTACGGGATGTTATGGATTCATTGCACTTGTGCCAGTTAAATGAGGGTAAAGCAATTAAGGACAGTGTTCACGTCTATTTGGCCTATACTTAATCTAGAGTGTGAAATAATTTTTAAAAAATATTTGCTAAAATAAGACTGGTACTTGGGCTAAACATTATTTTCACGAATGCAACTGTGCTTGTTGAAATTGGTTCTTGTGGATTTAAACCTCCAATGACATTTAAAGTTACTAAATGGGCAAAGTGCATCCTTCTGTTAAACAGGCATGTCTGAGTTAAGAGCAACGCGCAGATATTTGTTGGACCTTGATGGTGTATTCCTTTAGCAATTGTACTGTTGAAAAATTAACCAACTTGCTCATTCGGTTAATTTTAGTTGAAAAGATGCAACAGTTTGTGAGAAGAAGTATGCTTGTGTATTAAAAGATCAAGGCCTAACTCAACTGATAAATTTTACTTTTACAAAGTCTATTCGACCTTTAGTCAGCCCACTAGATCGAAAAGTGGTATAAACAAGATAAACCCATTTCCTGTAAGTTACATTCTTGAAGTTCAGTGACCTTTTAATGTATTGTGCGAAAAATCAATACATAGGTTAACAAGAGTGAACATAACTTATACATATCCTCCAGCTGGACTTTTTATTTGTAAACTGCAAATCGCGAGTTTGAGAAACAGAACTAAACGACGATTTAGCTGATTAGGTTATACCTAACAAATGCTAACAAACTTCAGACTTTTGGGTTAATTTTTTTCAAAAAAACAACGCGATCTCGGTAAACCTGCCAAAATATTAGTAAATTTTGCAATGAAAAACAGGTAATGTTCAGCCCTCTGTTTTTAACGGCGTTGCCAAACTTGAGCAAAATGGAGAGACCGACAAACACAATTAAGCTTTTCATTTAATTTATAGACATGGAAATTCGAAACCTGGAATCACATTGCCATCCTACCTAAATGCCTACACTGCTTAATGCCCACGAATAGATTTATATGTGGTTAAATTTTGAATAAAATTAGCGACCCATATGATCAAGAAGACAGACACCTACATTTCCAGAAATTCCTCACTTGCATACATTTGAAAAAAGACCACGCAAAATGTAAGGTAGTTGTTAGGTAGTTTTAACAATGAAGTACGAATCGGCATTATGAGAATGCTAATGAAATGGTTAGACCGTTGGGAGCACTATCATCTTTTAGCCAACTGCCACAAAAGTTACACGCATTTTTGTAAACATTTAATTTTCATTTGCATCTTTATGGAATGAAATGTCGTCTTTTTTAGGATAATGCCAAAAGTTACATGAGTGCGCACCACGTACCACAGAGGCTACGAAACCGCGTCCTCCGATGGTACGATTACGCATGGGAACGGTAAATAAGTTTTAGAGTAAATTTTGTCTGAATTAATCTTACATGTCATCCTAACAATAGCTGGAAAAAACTGCACTTGTACCTTGTGAGAGTGTCTATAAAAATGGTTAGATGTTGCCAAATAAGAGTTGTTTGACTAGGCCTAAACCTTGTGCATTTAACTTGTAAGAAAACTTAAAGAATCATTTAAACGTGTTTTCTGAGTTCTATTACAACTATTAATGTGCAGAATTTTTGCCACATCGCAAATCTGCTGATTAAATACCTGTGAATGTCCACTCCGGCTGTCTGGTTGTCCTCACTGAGTAACACTGTCCTAATAACAGACATTATGACTGAGTTTGATTACAATTTGCTTAAGTCTACTGTTATCAAGTTCAGTATGCAAGTATTAGGCTTTATCTCTTGCCAGGTTTGTGAAGTTGTTTTGTAAGTACCGCAGTAGCAGTAGAGGTACCAAAATTCCTTTAAACAGTCGACTTTCTGATTCGGCCTGTGAGATTTGTTCACTAATTTTAGGACCCCTAGACGCGACAAAGCAGCAGGCTAAATATTTTAAATTTTATTTTACAAGGAAGACTTAACACAGTCAAAGACATCTGACTTTAAAATGGCGCAAAATTATTTCGAGTATGTATCAACTAAAGTTGTAAATCGGAAATTTTTTTCTCTGTCAAACTAACCAACGTTTATTTTTTGCCCACTATTTGATATAGATATCAATCTTGCTGCATCTAGCTTATAAACATTTGTCAGCCGAGGAAATAAAAAAACAATGATATCTTATTCAGCAAGTTTAAAACCGTTCTAATGTTCGTTTAGGAGACGAATAATTGGGGAAAACGACTTAAATGGATTGGGTTCTTTGCCAGAGAAGCTAAAGACTGAGCTCGCTCTTCACGTGCATTTGGAAACTCTAAAGAAGGCCAGTTTTGACATTTTTTGACATGTTTCACATTCGTTTTGTGTTAAGAACATCAGGCTTTGCTAAAATTTTCTATTTAAATTTAAAAGTAAATCCTGCCAAGGGTTCCATCATAGGGTTCAATTCGTGTGTGTGTGTGTGTTTGTATAATATTTAGACACAAATATACCTTATCAAGAAGCTTTAATGACTAATATTTAGAGTTCCAATCACCATGCGCCGTGGATACACAAGACCAGATTTACCGGATACATCTTCAAATACGTATGACTGATATGGTTTAGTTTCTAAATGGAAAGCGGTTTTTCCTTTATTCGTGGTTTGACTTTTTTAATTCGAACAGTAGTATTTACTGTCATTAAATTACGACTGGTTTGGTGTGACGTGGAAAATGTGCTTTTCAATTCTCATTTTCACAAAAAATTGCTTTCACAATTTAACTAACTTTCTTAAATGTCGGTTTTAATTTTTATAGAAGCCTTAACAGGACCATTTTTCTTCCTATAGTTAAGGTCACAAACGCGGATGCATTGCTAAATCATTTTAGCACATTTAAAGTTATACTCTGTTTAATTACTGTCGAAAATTCGCTCGTTTCCCAATAAAATGGCATCAACCAACGAACACAATAAGGCTCGACTACAATAAACCGAAGAGCTTAATATTCACAATAGCTACATCTAGACACCTAAAACGGCGTAAGTAAGTGGTAGTTGTGTTTACAGGCCTATTTTTCACTTAAAGGTGACGATATTTCACGAGTGCAGGCCCGAATTTCTGCACGACCTCGTGCTTAAAATGCGACCATACATATTCACTCCTGGTGACCTAATCTGCCGACAAGGCGAGGTTGCAAGAGAAATGTTCATCATAGCAGACGGTGTGCTGGAAGTTATTGGGTGAGTTTCGATCGCGCAGAAGTTTATTTTGAATTTCTGTGCACTGTGATCTTCTTTCTACACCAGTAATGCAGGAGCATCTAAGGTTAGCTCCTTCCTAAGACAGTACCATCGGTGAGTTATTTGTTGATTTAATTAAGACATTTGAGAAGTCAAATAAATGAAAGAAATATGGTATTGGCGTCATTCACGATGTTATTGAAATTCAGTTATCCTGTCACGGCTATACTGAACACTAACGGGTTCACGAGGCATAATACGCTGCCTTCTGATTGGTGAATGGAACATGCAGAGGAGACAGCGAGGCAGCCGAAACACATATTATTTGTGGTTAGCACGTTTTAAAAGTGGCGCCTGATTCTGCTGAAATGCCACTTGGTGTGACATTCAATGCTATAATATCAATGACATGGGATTCACTCTCATCCTGAACTAAATACTCTTTTCTAACCCCAAAAGTTTTCACCGGAAACTAGTTTATAATTCGTTTTACCTACTATTTCGGCAATTAATGCTTTGATGAGAACTTTATCAGATTTACAAATAAAAATCCTCGCAAAATTCAAGCAGGATTGAGAATGAATTCACCACAGCATAACAATAGTGATAAATTGACAGTGAGGGATACTTGGTGTTTTGTTGTGATTGGGGCTAAAAGATTTTCGGATTGAAGTAAGCTTTGTTACACAATCTCATGGCGTACCCGTCTGAAAGTTGTAACAATCATTGACATAGAATTTCAGAATTTGATGAAAATTAAAATACATCATTATTTCATCGGTTTTTTGACAGTAAAAAATCTTAACCACTTCTTGCTTGTTTAATTGCGAAAATCGACTCTTCACAAAATAGTCTGATGACTACTATTAACCATAGCACAACTGCCAGCATCAGGTAGTCACTGTTTATAAGTAAATCTTAACTAGAAAGCAATGTCTGGAAAGTTCAGTCTAAAAGATTTTTCATCTTTAGAAAATCCGGCCTAGTTCTGAAACGACTTGAAGCGGGTGATTATTTCGGAGAAATTGGAATTTTATGCATTAACGGAGGGGGTAATAAGTAAGTTAAATGCCATATCCAGCCTATTTTAATGATGGTCAGGAAACAAGAACCATTTATTGTTGTCTTTCTTTTATTTGTTTAAAGGCGAACAGCAGATGTTCGAGCAGTAGGGTACGCTGAATTGTTTGTGCTCTCGCGAGAAGACGTGCTTGGTGCACTTGCTGATCACCCCGACGCCCATGTACGGTCAGACATGTGTAGAAGTATTTTACTTCTTCATAGTTACCTGCCCTGGCAGTAGACCGTTATATGCCAAATAATTGGATGTGAAATGTGCAACTTAAAATAGTCGCTATACGACGACTGGTCCCCTAAGCATTAGTTCTGCTAACGACTGCCTATATCGTGTCTAAGTGCTACTCAGGTATTCATTAGTATCGAGTTACTGCAACAATATTCCTGATTAATATAGAAAAAGTGAGATTATCGAAAGAATATTTACTCAGTGTCCGTCGAAACTGTTATAAATTAGTTAATTTAATGTTTGCAGCTATATTAGGAGACAAGTATTTAGCGAATACCGCGTGTACAATCCAAAACAGAAATTTACTTTTTACGCCAACTAAATGATATCTGGCGACTGTGTCTCTTATTAACGAGGTTTTAAGAAAAAAATGTATATTACCAAATCAGCTTTCGTGAAGTAATTCTGTTCACTTGTGTGATAAAATCTAAACTACTGATAACATGGCTATGTTTCGTGTTTGAATCAGCAGCTTTGAAGCGTTTTAGTTTCAAAAAAATATTGAACAAATTTATTGGAGGCTTTGGTCCTTCAACGAACACTAAAATGGCGTCAATGGTCTAATTTTATAACAGATCGAACTTCCATACCGGGCCTTTCACGTGGTAAAATGCACGGCGGAAGGCTGATATTTATATTAATTAAAGTACCTGAGTGGGGTTTGTGTGGCTCTAGGCCTTGGGATGTGGCCCTGAACCACACCGGGGACACCGGGTTGTACCTCCCCGGGAAGATTAAGGAGACCAGAGATTATCGGGACTTGACCGTTTACCAGATAGCTTAACCTAATTGTCGTGGACATTCCACGTTGAGCATTACTAACAACGCTTTTGACCATCATAGATTGGGTGACCTAGTATAAGTGAAAATGACTGAATGAGCAGATATCTAAAGCGAGGGAGGTACATACACGGTGGAGTGTGGACTGACGGTTCCGTATAACTGACGGGCATGCTATGAAAAAGGGAGCGGTGTGTTGGAGCATAAGGCAATCACATTATTGATTGATAACATGCATTTTGAGAATTTCCGCAAATTTGAAACAATGGCGCCACTATTGAAAAGTCATTCAGTTTCCCTAAAATGTTGACTAACTTGATAAAAACCTCACAAGTAGCACAGATATCAAAGGATTAAATCTAGGTCTAGTAGATTTCTCAAAATGGCTACATGTAGTAAATAAGTTGACTAACTTAGCATTGCTAAGTTGCGCAACAATGAATCTTTCCTAGTAACCTATTAGGGTTGTTTGTTTATTACAAGCCTAATTGAACACTAAAACTGTTTTTAGCTGGGAGCCAATCTTCGGTTCAATATTTTCTGCCTTAGAATAAAAAAAAACTTTAATTAAAATACATCCGGACGCATCCTTCAATGAACCTGGGCGACTTATAGTTGACACATTACAACACAAAATTTAGGACATTTTGCCTCGAAAAGATAACAAATTTTAGCGCATCTTTGTTCTGTCACTACAGATGCTCACAGCCAGTTACAAATACTTTTGCGAAAAAAGTCTCGGGCCAGCATTTGCAAATAACTGTTTATTTGACTTGTAGACTATTATAATAGAACATGCAACCAAACGCCTCCTGGAATCCAAAAGCCGAGAAGATGCGCAGGTTTGGTCGCCTTTTGAAGTCATTTTCGTGCTTCTAGATCACGTTTATTCAGAGACCAACAGATCTTACTCCTGAAGGTAAGTAATTTTGACTTACTTGATGATCCCTACCACAAACTTCCTTTTACTTCCCAAAAGAAAGCTGTCGTCGTATTACCGTTTGAGAACCTTATGCAATTACCTCGACAAAGTAACATATTATGTTTCGCCACAGGCTCTTATCAAGGCTGTGGATGTTCATAAACTCTATGTTCATAGGCACTGATTAAGTGGCCTGTTTCGGGGCCTCTACCAAGTCTTTTTGGATAACCTCCCGGTTACCAAAAACACTCAAAAAACGACGCACAATCCCGAGTCTAGCCCAAACCCTACCTGCACTGTGCCGTTGCAAAAAGAATACCTCGTGCAGACTGCTTTTGCTGTCTCAACCAGAAGCCGAGTAACACTGTCGTGGTGAAGATTATCTGATCGATTACTAGAGGTTGAATGTACAAATAATGTGACCAGACCAAATGCTATGGCTAATGAATTTGTGAATCTAAAGGAAGTGTGTGGAACAAGAAATGGTGTGAGCAGAACAGCTACTGGTCTTACTTTCACGAAGACCATTGTCATGAGCCATGCTTATTTCCCCAACAACTCTCTCTCTTAAAAATATAATAATGCCCTTTCTTTCAGTCGATCTCGAGTAGCATACTTTGCTAGAATCTTCAAGTACTTCGTCCTGTGGACGCAAGCCTGTTCACTGTCACCTTGTATAAGCAGTGAACTGGCAACTTTAAATCAGTTTGTTGAAATGTGTTGAATAGCAAGTTCGGTCCAATGCTGCTTCTCTAATTGGCGTTTCTAAGCCTAGTCTCCGTGGAGTTGGTTTCGATACTTTGGCCATGTGTCGTGTCCCATCACCACATCGAGGATGAATCATCCATGTCTGCTCATGCTCATTCCTTTAGGTTATGTATTACATCTCGGTCGATTCGTCCCGAGCACATACACATATTTCAACTTCCAATGGAACACTAAACTTAATCTGTGGAGTCTTCGGGTTATGGGATTTCATTTGAAAATGGTGGAAATTAAGCGTTCGCAACTGGAGGACCTTGAGTGCCTCAGAGGTCAATTTTTAGTTCGGCAGTTCTCCACTTATTGATCTGCAGTACATCAGCAAAAATGTCCTTTGGGTGTCGATGCACATGACTGAGGTCCACTGAAAGTGTTGATTAAATTTTACCTAGGTCAGCTTCCCTGCCTTTGGTCACCCGTAAAACTAAATCTACCTCTAAGGTATGCTGATAAAACTCGAGTGGTTATAATTTACATAAAAGTAATTGCAACTTTCCTCTTTTAAGATTTAGAAGCCACGGAGGGCATTGGACGAGATAGTGTGCTGACTCAACCTGGGGTATTGGCCGAAAATCGATTATCGAGTTTGTCGGCACAAAGAGACCCAAGGGCGAGCACAGTCTCAAGCACTCCTACGGTCGAAGCTTTTCCTCAGGCCTTCGTTTACATGTGGGTCTTTGTGACCTGACTAGGGCCAAAGTGATGCTATGTTTTCCTAATTCACCGCAAATTACCCAGTAGACATCCTGTTTAACAAACCGTTATGCTTAATTTGCGTGAATGATGTTTTCCTATAATACCACGATTAAGTCATATTTTGCATGCACAACTTGGACCTTTTATAGCTTTAATGCTTATTTCATTTATCTTCGTTGTTTTTAAGTTCCTATGTGCAAAATCAAAGGCTGTTGTCTTACACAAATAAGAACTAATTAAGCAAGGCCGGTAGCTACCGATCGTGTATTCTTTGCCATTTGACTTGATGATCAAAGGGCAGTTTATAAAATAGTTACTTTTAGCATATTAGTACTCCCAGTTACTTGAGAACAATTTCTTTATTCACATTCAATGCAAGAAACTCAGACTACAGTTGGCTTTTTTCAGAAAACTCAGATTGACCTAGGTAATGACGTCATCAGCCAAAAGTAAACGAGTAGGAGTAGAAGAATAACAGAACCTTGACAGCCATATTCAGCTTTAAGTCCCCTAAATGGCTAATTTATTGATTAGCTCGGGGGTTATGCGTTAGAGTGCCTTTGAAATATCTGCTTACTGCCTACGCTATTTACATTTTTGGTAATGGCCATCTAAATTGAAAAATATCGTCATTTCAAGTTATATTCAGCTGTGCCAATCGGAAAATTGACCTTTTTGATGCATTTCAACTCTACACTAAATGTCACGGGTTCAAGAAAATCGAAAGGACAGTGTCCTCAGCGTTTGAAGCAAAACTATTTACTGAAATGAACGTGTTAAATTATCTCTTGTAGCCTTGACAAATAAGATTACGAGAGATTTAGCTGTCAATTTTTTGCAGTCTTCGTCGACAAACTTAAACCCTCTTGCAATCGCGATTAGCAATGGCGATACATAGCCCATACCAATGGGGGACAGAAAATTTCACACAAGTGGTTCAAAAAGCATCTTATTCTTCTCAGACTGATCCGGAAATGAATTTTCGACACTTGAGTCCGTTTTTCTGTGACAAGTTCCCGGTTTCTGCAATTTATGACAGGCATGCATTTACGTTTGATTAGGCTGTAGTGGGGTTAGATCGGACAATGACGAAGTGTGTTCTCGATGTGTACTTTTCTTATTACATTTTAGGAAGGATATTTTATTGAAAAGACAAAAGGACGCTCTTAAATCGCTGGCAGCTTTAAATCAGTTTGTTGAGGAAGCAATGGTATGCCTGACCGATTTAAACACACCTGACACCAATTCCTTAGTTTGTTCTCACCAGCTGCTCTGAACGGGTATTGGCAAGGGACGAGAGGATAAACGAGCTTATGAACGAAAACAATTCCCTTAAACGGAAGCTGAAAGAGTACGTTTTACTTCCATTAATTCTGTTGTGTTTTACTGGCCTACTCTGAAAATTTTAAGACTTAGTACCAATTTTATACCCAAGCCATGGCGTTCGTTAAAAATTAGGAATGATGAGGATGGAACAAATGGAAAATACCATGTAATAAGGCGGCATTAATATTAACTCAAGTATTATTTTACATTTACTCGGCTAGTTTCCATAGTAAATATTTAAAATCTGTTCAATTAATTTCACTACTGGATCACAAATTTCATCGTACACAGTTGGACCTGTTCGTTAATTATCTGGGTACTTCAAATGAAACAATTAATGCGTAGCTTACATAATTTAGGAACACTGCTGCTTGTGGTGACAAGAGTAGTTTCCACCATTTCGTGATTGGTCATCTTTACTAGTTAATTATGTTTAATGTTTGGGCAAAATTGCTGCTAAAGGCAAGTAACCATGCTTCAACGACCAAATATCCATTTAGTAATGAACGACCTGCTTACAACGAATGATTGTCTCAGTTCGCTTACTTTTCAAAGCTGATCTTGATCCTACTGCATCCAATATAACTTCACCGCCAATTCTTTTTTTTTTGGATTAGACTAAACGAACTTCATCCAGAGATGTAGTAGTAAGAGTGGAGTTGAGGGGAGATGGCCAAGGAGGCACCTGACCGCGCGACCAGCACGTTCCACCGCCTCGATCAGTTGCCTCTTGGGTGTATAAAATCTCCTCTGCACGCGAGGTGTGAAGCTGCGCACGCCAATCAAATTACATACACCTATCAATTCCTCCATTTACTAGGAGGTGTGTACTACGGCTATCCTGTCCTACTGACCTATGACCCTGTTCTCCTTCCAAAGGAGTTGACGGTTTTGTGCCCATTTAAAAGTTTTCCACCAATTACACGCCAACGCATCAATGAACTACAATCTTTGTCTTCAAAATGTTGCTAAAGTGTCAGCTGAATTATCCGTGGTAGGTTGAGTCATGACAGGTGAAAAGCATAAGCCGAACTAATTTGTTAACCGCGGAAGTACGAAGAATCCAAAACACTTTAACCGAGACAAATTATTCTGCTATGAAGAACACGAATGACAAGGCAGGGTACTTAGGGAGAAGTAATTTGATGAAAAATTACCTGGGGAGGCTTCACCACAATAACCAGATATATCGTAGTGCTATTTAAATTTATTAGTTTATCACATTACTAAGGCGGCATAAAGGAACCAAACACACCCATTCGTTTAAGAATGCCAAATCCTCAACAATTTTAACAAGGTATTTCTGTATTAATCTCTACTTGAAGATTGCAGCAGGACTATTTTAGTAATGTCTTTGTTAGTAAAAAAATAACTTGCTTAATTATTTAGAAACGCCAAAATTTACTAATTTCGGACACATTAGGGTGCAGTAAAATTCAGGGAGGCATATGTTGCATTTATAAAGTAATAAAGCAAAACAGTAATCGGAATTTCATTAGCAGCCACGAATAAATTAGGTGTGGAAATCGAATAATATTAATTTGCATCTAATCTTTTGTATCTGGTTTGACTGCTTTACGAGACAACTCAATTTGACGTCTATGTTCATCAAAACCACGAGCAAGGTCTGCGTGTCACGCATTTTATCATGCCATCCAAGAATAAATATGGATACACTCTTAAGCTCTGGATAATTTCAAAAAAGTGAACGTGCAATCCAAACCGGAATTTAAGTGCGTTATTTCAATGTAAAGATATACATATATGTTAAAATCTGCTATCGTATATAATGAATTTTTGTAAGTCGAATGAATTGAAGGTAATTTTGCGTGCAAGCTTGCACTAAGTGAACCGGAGTGCGATTTTGGTTCATCCCATTTACCCATAATTACCAACTTCTCGTACTTACGGAAATGAAGCTTATGAGGCCACAAGTGTTTTTTTGTTTTCAATCTTGGCTGTTGGGTAGTGGTAACATGCAAACGAAAAACAATTTCTTTCCCCATGTTCCAGTTGAATTTATGAATAACATATGAAAATACCAAGAAAATTAGAGTTTTTCAATGATTATTGTCTTTATTGGGTCCGAAAGTTAAAAAGCACCTTCCAAACATACACCGATAATTTCGAGCAACTCAGATATTTTTGAAAATTGACCCGATTGGTTAACTATGCACGACACTATTTTCAGTCACAAAAGTGACATTTAAAGGACCTGTTTTAAGTAGCGTGAGCATCGTCTTCTTGCGGCTCGTATCTTCATGACTGTATCATTTTTATCACTGCCGGTGGAGTCACCTATCGTGATTGTCCTCACCTTTAATGCCATTGGCCTCGATAAACTAATTTGCTTGCACTTGAGTTTACAAATCAAGATAACCGTGTCAATAAAAACAATCTGTCAGTTTCGAAGAGGTGGTTTTGCAGTAATCTTTGTAGCAAACTGTCCAGAGGTTGAATGGGTTTTACGTAAGAATATATTAGGTGAAAGGGGGCCGAAAAATTCAGGTCCATCGAAACATCAGACATCTACCGAACGCAGGATCTAGTGAAAAAGCAAGATACACAAAATGAACAGGTCAACATGGTCCCTTCTACGCTGTGACTGCATAACGTGTTTTTAAGGTAGACTACTGGAATCAATATGATATATGGACAACAGTGATTCAATAAAGATCAGTGTTTACATTTTCAGCTGTGGGCTACACAAACTATACCATAGGTTTAAACGACAGCATAGCGAAGCAGCATGATGTGAATTGTATTTATGCATGAAAATAGGAACAATTGAAAATCAGATGAATTCTACTAAGCCTTAGCAAATCGATGCATCAATAAGTGTGATAGTTAATATTCTTTGATAAAAAACTTGAATGTGTAAATTTTGGAACCTGATTTTTAGCACATTGCCATCCAATACTCGCGATTTCAGTCATAATATTAACGTCCCTAACTTTGTACACCATGAATAAAACCATGCGGATATGATTCACTGACATTCACCTTGAATTATGACATTAATGTTGTACAACACTTTTTTGGATTGTAGTTTGCGTATAGTCAATTTCATGAGTAACTTTGTTACAGGGTAGTGCATTCTGCATGCCGCTCTTGATAAAAAATGCAGATAAAGTGGTATCTTGGATAAAAATAATTTACCCGATTAACTTAATTAGTTGCTGTTTCCTGAACTGTCTAACACAGACGACGAGTTTTGCATAACCACGATTCAGCTAGCATACCGTTTTAGCAAACTTTATCAAAACTGAAAATGGTTGTTTAAGGTAACTCAGTTACTTTAAAGGTGAAAATTATCAATCCGTTTCAGCTTTAAATATTTCAAAGGCAGCAGTGAGGTTGCTGGATTACATGAAGACTATGTACAAATTTATCATAGATTAACGAAAATGAAGTTTGAGACGATAGCACAAGGAAATAGTTGCGCAGTTTGAATCAGTGTGGAAACGCTCGACAGAAACTCCCAATTTTAAAATAACCTTTGCGGGTTTACTGTGTTACCTTTTTTCCAGAATCGACAGTAATTTCTGACAGTTACTGGAGGTGCAGTAGTAGTGTTGACTGTTATTTATTTATTTATTTGAATAACCCATTCAGGTATTCAACAAATTTCTGACTAGTCCATATTTAGATCATATTCAAAGTCAA